TCTGCTGGAGGCAAAATCCAGTCTGACTGAGAGGTGCAGGTCTCCAGACACACAGTTGGGAGAAAAGTAAAATGTAATCATGCATTTGTAACCCACATTTGGCATGGTGTGTGTTGTGTCTCCCTCTAGTTGCTGAATAAGAGCTTATTACTACTGGCTCATGGAGTTATTTCTTTAGCTCAAGTGGGACTGGTCTGTGCTGCTGTAATGGAGGTCCTGGGTTCGAACTCTGATGATGATCCAAGATTGTTACACAGTCTTAACGGGGAAGCAAGAAAAATATATTCATTTTCAATATAAGAGAAGCTTGTATCCATTAGCTGTCTTAGTGCAGCTCACAGAATAGCTTGGCAGTAATATATAGGTGAAATTTAAGCTCCGTCTTGTATATTTACTATTTCTGAAAGAGAATACAATTCAGTTCCTAGAGCTTAGTTGATTGGATTTGATATTCTTACAGATTACTGCCAAATTACTGCATTATCAAGTCAACTAATTGATAAGTATGGGTTACAGGCCAATAGATCTCCATAAATGTGGATCCTTTGATCCCAAACCTAACCTGCCCCAGACCCAATAATTATGATTTCATCTGGTATGGATCTAACACAGAGACCACCCTCTGCAACATGCAAAGACCACCTACTGGAGAAGGTAATGCAGCATGTTCATAGCTCTTTGACCCATGCTCCTTTCCTTCCCAGCCACGTTGGGATGTAGGTGATGGCATCAGGCCTTTCACACCTGAGTGAATTTTACTCTCAAATTAATATTTTGCATCCCCATCGTGTCTTTAAAGTTGGACTTTGGGGCTTATCTCCCCACACCCGATGTTACAGTGGAAGCACTGATTATTTTCTTGTTCTGTAGTGCAGGCTTAGGCTCCAGTTTTTATTTACAAGACATAATTATTCAATGGTCTGACCTGTTCAATCAGAAAAAGTTACCATGCACCCACAAACTGCCTGACAAATTGCTACACTGAAACTAAACTCTTCATACTGTTTTCTTATATTTAATTATCCGTTTTCTGTACAAAATCAGAGCGAAGAGGGTGTAAATAGTCTCAGTTTTAGGTAAACTAAGAAGAAAATCTGTGCCTTACCTGAGCATTTAGTACTTTGAATATTTGTCCCCTTTTTGTGTATATCTTACTTGATAGACTAATTTGGTAGTTAACAACATTAAGACAGCAAGATGCATTTTAAGGCACTGATATGGGCTTAGGTACCTCGCTTCCAGCACCAAGTTTGAAAATGTGTGTCTATATATGCCCTGCTTCGATGTTGAATAATGACCAAGGCACTGGATGTTAAAGGGCTGTCCCAGGGTTTGAACCTCCATCCTGAGCAGCTAGTGCTCTGGCCAGTAAGGTGGGACTGCTTCACCTCTCACCCAGCGTGAATATAAATTTTGCTGGGGTGACTGGGCTGATAGGTATCTCACTTTCCAAGTAGTCCTGTCGATTTATATGTATTTTTGCTCTATCGTTGTTATGTCCCTTCATCTCCTCTTGCTCAGCTGCTGTTGTGGGTAGTTTTTTTTTTTCTTTCTCTTCATGTGTAGTGAAACATCACATACATATCACAGTGCAATTGATGAGGCAGGGAGCATAGTAGAGTTTATTTATAGGGCTGTCAAGCAATTAAAAAAATTAATCGCGATTAATCGCACTGTTAAACAATAATAGAATAACATTTATTTAAATGTTTTTTCTACATTTTGAAATATAGTGATTTCAATTACAACACAGAATACAAAGTGTACAGTGCTCACTTTATATTTATTTTTATTACAAATATTTGCACTGTAAAAAACAAAAGAAATAATTTTTCAATTCACCTAATACAAGTACTATAGTGCAATCTCTTTATTATGAAGGTTGAACTTACAAATGTAGAATTATGTACAAAAAACCCCCTCAAAAATAAAACAATGTATAACTCTAGAGCCTACAAGTCCACTCAGTCCTCCTTCAGCCAATCACTCAGACAAACAAGTTTGGTTACAATTTTTGGGAGACAATGCTGCCCGTTCTTGTTTACAATGTCACCTGAAAGTGAGAACAGGTGTTCACATGGAACTGTTGTAGCTGGCGTCGCAAGACATTTACATGCCAGATATGCTAAAGATTCATCTGTCCCTTCATGCTTCGACCGCCATTACAGAAGACATGCCTCCATACTGATGACAGGTTCTGCTCGATAATGATCCAAAGCAGAATGGACCAACACATGTTCATTTTCATCATCTGAGTCAGATGCCACCAGCAGAAGGTTGATTTTCTTTTTTGGTGGTTTGGGTTCTGTAGTTTTAACATCTGAGTGTTGCTCTTTTAAGACTTCTGAAAGCATGCTCCACTCCTCGTCCCTCTCAGATTTTGGACAGCACTTCAGATTCTTAAACCTTGGGTCGAGTGCTGCAGCTATTTTTAGAAATCTCATATTGTCAAATCTGCTGTGAAAGTGTTCTTAAAACAAACGTGCTGGGTCATCATCTGAGACTGCTATAACATGAAATATATGGCAGAATGCAGGTAAAACAGAACAGGAGACATACAATTCTCACCCAAGGAGTTCAGTCACAAATTTAATAAATGCATTACTTCGTTAACGAGTGTCATCAGCATGGAAGCATGCCCTCTGGAATGGTGGCCGAAGCATGGAGGGGGTATACAAACGTTTAGCATATCTGGGATGTAAATACCTTGCAACACCGGCTGCAAAAGTGCCACGCGAATGCCTGTTCTTATTTCAGGTGACATTGTAAATAAGAAGCAGGCAGCAGTATCTCTCATAAATGTAAACAAATTTGTTTGTCTTAGTGATTGGCTGAACAAGAAGTAGGACTGAGTTGACTTGTAGGTTCTAAAGTTTTACATTATTTTTGTTTTTGAGTGCAGTTATATAACAAAAATAATCTACATTTGTAAGTTACACTTTCATGATAAAGAGATTGCACTACAGTACTTGTATGAGGTGACTTGAAAAATACTGTTTCTTTTGTTTATCATTTTTACATTGCAAATATTTGTAAGGGAACACTGTACACTTTATATTTTGTGCTGCAATAGAAATCAATATTCTTGAAAATGTAGAAAAACATCCAGAAGTATTTAATAAATTACAATTGGTATTCTATTGTATAACAGTGCAATTAATCTCGATTAATTTTTTAAATCACAATTAATTTTTTTGAGTTAATCGCGTGAGTTAACTGTGATTAATCGACAGCCCTATTTATTTGTTTGTTTGTTTGTTTATTTATTTATTTTGTGGCATGACAGCAAATGCTTGAAAAAATGTATCTTTGTTAGGGCCTTGATGTTTATAATATAAAACCCCTGAATTCCCTGGCCTGCACATACAATTCTCTAGCATCTGGGAGCCAAGTATTCTCAGGCCTCTGCTTTATTCGGAAAATTGTCCCTAGGAAAAAATCTTAAATGTTAGCAACAATGGATGTGTATTGAGTATGGCACACAAGCCCAGCATGATTTCAAAATGCTGGAAAAGTTCCCAGCTATTCTGATGATAACATACTGTAATAAAAGAAAATGGGGTGTCTGAGGTCCGTCAGTGACAGCTGCCCGCTTCCTGTAATCATGAAACAGTCATGATTTATTAAATATTTTAACTCTTGAGTTTTCAGAGAACAGTGGTATTTAGCTCTAAACAGTGCCAGGTTTTTTTTTTTTCCTGCAGTGCTTGTGTTACTGCCATCCCCAAAACTTACCAGGGAGCCCTCTAGCTGTTAATTACAGGCAGTTGTTTTAGAAGGGAAACACAATCCTAGGATTTAATTTTCAAAGACTAGTAAAATATTGCTAACACTCCTTTTTATCTTGAATTTCTCTGCTGACTATGTAACTTTTATAATGGCTGTTTGCAGCCTAACAAGTATATATGATTTTTCTCTTATGACTTGTATCAGCAACCTACAAGCAGAGGATTAAAATAACTAACCGTGGGCAGCTGCAGGGAAAGAGGGTGCGTTTTGTCTTTACTCTCAGTTTACTGTCCCTGGACACTGCTTAAGAGCTCCATCTTTTGTATTGTCTTCTAGCTAATAGGTCTGTGCTATTTTTCATTGCCTCCAACTTCTGGCTTCTCTCTTCACCCTTCACTCTACCAAAAATCCTCTGAGTTCCTGACTTTTTTGGTTGCAATCTATTGTTCTACCCTTCCCTTGGTCTCTTGCAGCTACAAGGTGTGCTCATGGGGTATTAATTTCTCTGCTAACCTGGCTAGCCTCTCTTTTTTGGATCCTTCTTTCCTGTGAATAGCTCTACTTCTCCACTGCTACTTATAGTTTTCCCAATCAGCGGAAGTAGAATTAAATTAACATTTTATTGGCAGTTGGTGCTCATTTCTCAATCGCAAGCTTGAGACTAACTGGAGGCTTGGAGTAGGTCTACACACATGCCAGCCAACTCGGGCTCAGGCTGTGGGGCTGTTTCATTGCCGTGTAGACTTCCAGGCTGAGGCTGGAGCCCCCTGGGACCGTCCCACCCTTCAGGATCCTAGAGCCCAGGCTCCAGCCTGAGCCCAGATGTCTACACAGCAATGAAATAGCCCCGCAGCCTGAACCATGCAAGCTTGAGTCAGTTGGCACAGGCCAGCCGTGGGTTTTTCTTTGCTATGTAGACATGCCCTTGTGCAACTATGGGCAGCAGGAGAACTGTAGGTGTGTCTCTGCAGACTCAAGAAGATAGCACAGAATTAGTTCACATTTGGCACATTCACAGCCACAAGGGCTGTAAACGCTGCAGTGTTTTCATTACTTAGGCCTTCATTGGCCAGGGAAAGTTTTCTAACCCAGGGGTTGAATTTTTCAATCTCTACTGTGTGTATTAGAAGAAAACAATCTTCTTGTACCCTACTCTTGTCCTATGTGAATATTGCATCTATCAGTGGTGAGAAATAGGCATTTAAAAACAGTACTGGTTTTAATAAGTTCAAAACCAAAAATCCAACTCATTTTCTTGTTTGTTTTTACAGGCATTCCCCTGTATTTCAACTGGAATTTATGGTAAGTAAGACCTATTATTAGGTACCATTTAAGTGGGTTTTCTTCATAGCAAATGGTCGGTGTTGTTTAAACAGATTTTTTGTGCCTTTGTAGATCATTTTGGCTAGCGCATGAATTAATATTTTATTATTATTATACAACAGCATTCAATTGGACAATGCTTGGGATCTTGTTGTACAAGTGAAATAGTCTGTGCCCCAAAGAGCTTATAGGTTAAGGCCCTGATCTTGCAAAAATGTATGCAAGTTATTAACTTTACACCCATGTGGCTCCAATAGTGCAAAGTTCAGCATGAGCAAATGCTTTCAAGATAGGGTTCTACGGAGACAAAAAACTAAGATATGGGCAACTTTGTACATCATGCAGGGAAAGTGGCCAAGGTGATGGGGACATGTCTTGTTAGTTCCATCATTTTTTGTTTGTTTTTATTTTTTTAATTTGTTTCCTCCCCAACTGGTGATTTATGAAGCGATGAGGGAGAGGGATACTATCAAAAGATGGCAAATATTTATATATATTAATATACATTTTTATTGTTTTAATTCAACCTGTCCATTATTAGTCATCCAGTTTCTTGTAGTAACCATGGGAGAGATGGCTATTGAAGAAGTATTTGAAGGTGGAAAGGGGTAGATTCAAAAAAGGTGTTGCATACTTAAAAAGCAGCATGGAGAAATGAATGGAGACTATTATGGGTGGAGCTGATTCTTTACTGGTAGATACAAATATATTTCTAGCTTTAAAATCTAGTAAATTGCTTTTTTTTGCATTTAACGTTTTAAAATGCATATAGAATTATAATAGGTAGTGTTATTTTTAATCTCTCTTAAGGTTAATAGAGAGAGACTAGCAGTGCAGCAAATTTAAAAAATCATGGAAGAACTAAGTGCCACCATAATAATCATTACTTAGTTATTGTACATACGTCAGATATATTAATTTGCAGCCATTTTGCTAAGTTAATATTAGGATTGGCTAATCAGATATTATGAAGGAGAAAAAAGATCCACAAAAGCATGACAGCTTTATTATTTTTTTAAAGTAAGAAAAATGTAAAATCTTTTTATCATGTACCAGCATCAGTATAACATCAGACAGGCTGATTATTTTGATAGTTGTTAATTTGAATCAGATTTCAGAAAGTGGAAAAGGAATTACTTCCTTGTACAGTTCCTTTTTTCCCCCCTTCCAGCTGTATTAATGTTACTTATGAGAAGATTACAGCTGCAGTTTAGAAACTTTAGAAATCACCAGATATGGACTTATTGCAGAAAAATCTTTGCCTCAGTCTCCAAATCCCTTATCTTCTAGGGAAAATTCTGGGTTTCATTCCTGGACATTTTGGATAATGTGCACACTTTTTTCCTTAAGTCTTAACATGGACATATTTTTGTTATTAGTTTGCAAAAAGACCCTAGACATGATGCATGTGTATGGAATTTACTAGCAAATGAAATGCACAAACAATTACAGTTCATTTTATGAGAGTTGGTTTAGTCAATAGAAAGTAAGCCCTGCATACAAGAAACATGGTTCCCTGAGGTAACTAAAAGGAAGTTAGATAGAACCTCGAGTTCCTTTTCCCGGGTAATGGTACTTTTTGAGATGGTCATTGAATTTTTTTTAAGCTGAAAAGCTAAGGCACAGCTGAAGCACTATATAGTATGGCAGATGGAGTTTCCATATGTATCTGTTGTTTTCATTGGTGTACAAGGAGCAAAGCATATTTCTGCCAAGACACTCTGTCTTTCCATAGTTTTCTATAAAAGGCTGTCAGCACGCAAACTCCTAATTGAGCTACTGCTCTGCATTTCAATATTTGCCGTCTAATTTTCAAGGAGATGTGAGAATGACACTTTAAAAAAAAAAACTTATTTAGCCCTGCTTTTTCCCAGAACTCTCAGACATGACTCTTGAAAGGGCATTTTCATCTGGTAGCTGCTAAGGGCAAGTCTCTGTGTGAGATCTGAAATGCTGGCAGATTTAAGAAAGGGTGACAGCAGTTGCTGTGCAGTGATGAACTTGCCAGTGATGCTGTGTTATGTAATACATTTGGGGACCAGGGCACATATACAACACACAAAGATCTGCTTAGTGGTGCTGCTGGTGGTTGTTTTTCCCCCTCACTCACATGCTTTAGAGATTCCCATTGCCTAGGACAGCAAGTGAATTTCTTCTATTCTGTATAGATGTTCATCACAATAGTATCCGAGTGCACTCCAGTTATGCATTAAGCAGCATGACTGCACACCTGTCATGTGGAGTTTATTATCTCAGCGTCTCTCCATGTGGAGAGGCGTATGTAATGAGTGTCTTGTTTTGGTAAAGTCTTAGGGTTTTGTTTTTTAAATGTACTTCATTTCAGGTGACCTTATTGGGTAATATGTCTAAGCTATCCTAATAGTGAATATTGTTTCACACATACTAATAAGAAAATATTTATTTTCTTCTTTAAAGAATATATGGCCCTGATTCTGCAGTCACATCCCTGCAGACAAAGCATGCCCCCTGGCAGAGCCCCATACACTGAAAGTTGAGCTTCAACTCAAGGTCATCAGGACTCTGGTCAATTTGTAGGGGTTCACCTCTTTGGATCGATTTGTAGGATTGAGGCCTGGTTTTGCTCAATGTTCTTATAAATGCTTGGTTTGCTTTTCTTCTCCCTGGCCTCCTTAGGCACTCCTTTCTAGAGAAAAGCCTTTCCTATTTGTATCACTTAAGAACACTCCTTCCTCAGAAAAAAAAAGTGTGAAGAAGAAAGTAAGCTTATTAAGTTTTGGGTAACAGCAGGTTCCTTTTCATGAGAGGACGTTTGATGGAGGAAAAGTCTGCATTCCTCCCAAAATGCACTCTCCACGCTCCAGCTTCTTAGAATGCTTAGAAACACTTAGAAAGTGTTCCAACTTGAACAAGTTAAAGCTGTGAGAAGGCCAGAGGCAAGTTGCCATTAAGGCACCATTCCAGAAGTCGAAAAGAAGACTCCGGAGCGTCATCATTTTTCAAGACTGATGGAATTCAAATGAAGGATTAAATGTTTAAAAAAATTAGGTAGAAGGGCCCTGGTGCTTATTTCTTGTAAATCTGTGTAAAACAGATTAGAATCTGGCCCAAAACTTTGAATTAAAAACTGTATTGCTTTTTTACTTGGAGATCTGTGTAATCTCTGATATGGTGATAAAATGATGATCAGCCCAAAAATAAAAAATAGAGGAGGCACAAGGAGTGGAGACTCATGTGTCCCCATACCTCTCCTAGATAGTGCTCTGTGCCTCAGTTTCCCAACCTGTAAAATGAGCATAATGCTACTTACCTCCTTTTGCAAATGCTTTGAATGTTACTGATTGAAAAGCATGGTATAAGAGCTGAGTATAAGTATTTATTATTAGTTAACTGAGAGATGACTTTAACAAGTACTTTCCCTTATGACAGGAACATATTGAATTCGTAATCTTAAAGAATTCCCAAGGAATGTTCATAGTCAATCCAGTATTGTTTGGAACTGCCAGCTACTAGACTAATTACCAAGCAACAGATCCACAATATTTACCTAGTATAATTTAAGATAAGAAAGATACTTGAGGTTAACTCTGTCAGGAGAGTTGTCTTCTAGACATACTTAACTTATGCTCCACTTGGGAGCAAGGCCAAACTAAGTAAACAATTCTGATGTAAATTCTCCTTTTCAGGGTCTTCCAGTGCTTTTTCCTCTTTCCCTTGTCCAAAGAAAGGTCAATATCTGTTTGAAAAGTTTTTGGTTTTCTTCTTAAATCAAACACCTACATACACTGGTCACCATTAATAAATCTAATTTACCAGGGAAAATGTACTTTGGAAATCTTTCCAGAAAAGACATCTTTGGAAAGAGACCAAGCACAGAATTTCACATCTAGAGTGGTTGGTTCCTGCTTTCCCCCACCCCCACCCCCAAAAAATTACAGCTTGTGAAAACAAAGAGTTATTTAAAGGCTGCATTTTTACCCCAGCTGTTATAGGAGTCATGGATTCCATGATTTTCATGTATTTTCAAGTGTTCAAGACTTCTGACGTTTGGGAACTTTTGCAAAAGGGAAAGTGGATGTGGGATAGTAAACAGTGGGACTAATTTCACTGCGAATCTTGAGAGTTGCCAAGTTAAAACCTAGGCTGCATACACAGATGGGAAAGGATAAGAATTCTCTTAAATTAGGGCTCATGGTTTGCCATGTGATCATGGCAGATCATAGATTCTGAGGATGGAGAAACATAGGAGCATTGGATAGGGATTTTAGGATGTTATCATCTATGTTCTCCTGTGGCTTACTTACTGCCATATTACTTGCGATATAAGTTTGAGGTACTGTTGCCACTTTTTTTTTGGTTATACTCCACCAATGCAAGAAATCAGTTTTAATACTTATTAAACTCACTTAAAAAGTAAAGAAGGAAAAAAATAAATTAAAATGGAAAATAACACAAAAAAATTGCAGAGAAAACGCTATGAAAGTCTACATTTTAATAGGTTTCGGAGTGGTAGCCGTGTTAGTCTGTATCAGCAAAAACAACGAGGAGTCCTTGTGGCACCTTAGAGACTACCACATTTATTTGGGCATAAGCTTTCGTGGGCTAAAACCCACTTCATCAGATGCACCTGTGCATTGTTGAGTCCTGGTATCAGCATGTGTGACCCTGGCATGCTGTTAGTCAGTGTTGGGAGGAAGATGCTGCCCAATGTTTCTTAAGTGCCTAAGGGCTTCCCTCAAAGAAGAAACAGACAAGTAACAGATCTTATCAAAAGTACCCATTCAAAACAATATTCCAGAAGTCCATATATGGACACTTCCTCTTCTATTGCTAAAACTAATTGCTAATATTTGTGACCTCACCAGAACCTCTGAAAACCCCTATCTGCAATTCCTTAGTCCAAACAAACTAGGTTCATGTCACTTCTTTGGCTCTGTTCTGTGGTTTCTTTCAACAGCAGTTTCACATAATACATTTAGAGGATAAATTAGCATTTCAAC